CCCTAAACCTTTTTACCTACAGTGGGCCCTGGCCCCCGGCAGCAGGTTAGTACCGTAGATCCTTCCTTGTAGAGGCTTCTTCTTTTTCTAGGTACTTCATGTTTCAGCCTCTTTATGCCCTAAACCCCAAAGCCAACCTCTACGCAGCCTTTTTATGCATGGCTTGGAGGACGTCTTCCACACCATGGATGGCGATGATAGCGGCACTGTCTCAGTCCAGGAGCACAGACGCTGTACGCATACACGGACACTGTAAGCATAAAGGTCCAAGCCCCGAAAAGCCGTATACCCACAGAGCCCAATACACCTCAAAGAAGGATAATGAAGGAATATGGCTTGAATTATATGGGGCTTCATATTCTGATTTAAGCTACATTCCTTGTTTAGGGGGTATTGCGCCCTTGAGGTATTTCCCAAAATATTGCCTCCTATCCTGAAGGCAAGGATCGAATTATGGGGTACTTCGTACCCCTCGCGCAAGGGTTGGCGGAGATTTGCTTTCGGGCATAACTCGCTTTTCGCGCATTAGAGGGCTGAGCTCACGGCTGCGATTGTCCTAGACTTCTGCGGCTACGGTTTCGGAGACTGGACAAGCAACAGCCTTGTTGCTGCATGGGAGTTGCCAGAAATGGCGGGGGGGGGTGGTCTTGTGTATGGGCCCTTACCTGTTCATTACCTTAGGGGTTTAGGGTTTAGGGTACGGGTTTAGGGTTACAGGGTTTAGGAGAAACTCCGGCGTGACTTCGGTGTAGGCTTCGTGTTGAGAAGCGACGCGTCGTAGAATATTTTCCAAATGCTTTGCCAGTTCTCCTAAGCCCCTAACAAATTTGGGGATGCCTGAGTAGTCCTGCAGTCACAATCCTCTTTTGCAGGATTTGCAGGCGCATTATAAAAGATACCCTTGCAACACCCCATTCACATACATAATATGGCTCCTACTTTATCTCCTATGCTCGCGGGGCAGCGGCAGGAGTTCGTCGATCATCTGGACCATCCAATCGTGAAGCGGTACTTGGGACTGCTGGACCTGCACGTGAGCGATGTCGAGGACCTCTTCCACATTCTGGACGATGGCGCTGCTTGGTGTCGGGTTTAAGGTAGGGTTTAGGGTTTGAAACAGACTCTTTCTTCTGCTGTGTTTCCTTCTGACATCAATCGAATCCTTCAACCCTGAACCCAAGCAAACTCTGTGGGAATGCTCGGGAACTAAGGACGGTATGATCTCAATTCACGCTCCTCCGGCTGCTCATAGAAAGCTGTTTCTTTGTTGACCTAGGGCTTAGGATTTTGTAATAGTCAAGCTGTCCCTTGGAACGAGAAGCCCCGTTCCCGAAACGCTGGGATACTGCTCCTTAAACTTTAAAAAGGCCTCATAGTACCCCTATCCCTAAGGTGTAAAGTCACAGTACCCACAACCTACTCCCCCTAAATCCTAAACCCTAAATCCTAAACGTCACGGTGCCCACAACCCAGTCAGGGGCCTTTGTAATTAGAATAGGGTTTTGGGGGCCCATTATACTATAACTATCATAAGGAACCCCCAAGACAATGTAGGTAATTATTAAGGCCCCTACATTATCAACCCTAAGCCCTAAACCCGCAAGATAGTCTAGGTAATGCTACCATTAACCTGCTTTGTTTAGAGTTTACAGTAGGGTTTATTGTGTAGGGTTTAGAGTTTAGGGTTTAGAGTTTAGGGTTTAGGGTGTAGGGAGAGAGATTTTCTGAGTTTTACAGGGCTTGCATACTAGGTATTGGTTTGGGATACTTTGTTGATTTCCCTTCTTCTTCAATAATGTTTAAGAATAAGTTGTATATAGTTTTGGCGACTGTTGAGATCGACAGCTACAAGGAATTCTGCTCGGGCGTGATGCACATCAAGGGGCAAGCGCGGGCGTTGGACGTCTTGGCCCTGCAGCGTGCCTGTGGCAAGCTGCTGCATACCTGCCAGAGTATAGAAGGCAAGCTGCAGACTGTGCAAGAAGTGATGCCAATTTAGAAATGTGAGCCTTCGATTCTTCGATTCGCCCCAAACTCAGCCCGATGGGGCTTACAACCCTAAACCTCCCCCCCCAGACCCTAAACCCTAAACCTTAAACCTAGAACCCAAAACCATGCCCATAAGATCCAAGACCAAAGCAAAAACGCTGGTGCCAGAATATGGCAGCTCGCTTCCCAAAGGGAACCGGCTCTGCTACTTGAAACTCGACCGGGGCCCTAAGAAACCCATGTGTCGAGGCTTCCTGTTTTAGGGCTTATAGGGTTTAGGGTTTAGGGTTTAGTATTCTTGAACTAGTTATAGCAGTCCTTGGAAAGCTAGGGTTTTTGTCTTAAGGTCTTCCTGGTTATGACTTATCCATGTCTGTATTACCGATGTATATATGTATATACATACATACATACATACATACATACATACATACATACATATATATATATATATATATAGATACGCCCTTGGAACGCTAGGTCTTTTTCGACTGCAGGTAAAGTTTAAGATCGAAGAGCTTTCGATCAACTTATGGACGTCCACCTTAGAGAACCCGCAATCCCTAAAGCCCACGGTTTAGGATTGGGGGGTTCAGGGTTTAGGGGCTTAGGGGTTTAGGGTTTAGGGTATGGCGCGCTAGTCGCAAGAGCAGGGCCTCATCCAGTAAAGAGCCGACACCCTTGCCAAGGCAAATCTTCTAAGATGCTTTTCCGGTGGGGTCGTAACGGGGCCCAGGATTTCATCTTTTGAGGAGGGTTTTGTGATCAGATTAATGAGGATTGGGTCTAGGGTCTAGGGTTTAGGGTTTAGGGTGGGGCTTGTGTTAATGGCCTTACAAGCGCACTTGAGGGATTCATACGGGTTTCCAGGGGGTCTAGGGTCAAGAACGGCTTCGGGCTTAGCTCCTAGGGTCAAGAGCTGAGGACTTTTGGAAAATTGATTGAAGGTTTCAGGTGTGAGGCTCTTGTATTGGAGTTTGGGGTTTTAGGGTTCTGAGAGTTTAGGGTTTCGATCGTAGACTAGGATTCAGGTTTCGGCATTAGGGTTGGGGCGGCGTGTGTCATGGAGCACAGCTCCTTTGAGGTTGAGACCTCCCAGACCTTTCAACATCAAGTGATTTAAGGAATATATACCTTAAACTCTAGTTAAACGACCCCTAATCTGAAAGTAATTAAGAAAAATATATACCTTACATTATGATAGGATCCCTAATTATGGTTTAAGGTACATTCCTGGATTCAGGGACTTTGGAAGGTCTGGGCACAAACCAACCAGTTGCACAAACCAACCAGTTGGCCGGTGCAAACAACAATCCAATTGGTAGTTTCAGAAAACTAGGGTACCCTATTTAGGGGTGCTTAGAATAAGGATCCTACTATTTTGGGTCCGATATTAGGGTCCCCTATTTTCTGAAACTCCCAATTCAGCTGCATAGCCGGCAATGTCTGGGCCAGCTGCAGGTAGGGAGTTCCGATTTCGGGTGTATATAGGGTTTTTTGGGCGACCAGCGCAGAACTAAGAACTCCCACATGGTCTTGAACGCCGCGGTTTCTCAAGTCATAAAGCAGTGAGCACTAGTCATATAAGTTGTCGCTACAACCGTCGCAGTAGTATCCCTCGGTCCACGTGTAGAGCTTGCATCAGAAAGACTGCCCCTGAGAACCCGGTGCCCTGTCCACGATGTCCACATGTCGGAAAGCTAGGTTTAGGGTTTACTTGGAGGATCATGGGACTCAGTAAGTAAGGTTAGAAGTCCCCTAATTGGGGTTATAAGTACAGTTACCTTGGTTATAACCCTACTTACTAAGTCCCATGATCCTTTAAGTACGTAGGGTTTAGGGCAGCACTTCCTACCTGAGTTTCCCTCAACAAACGGCTGCTTTGCCTCGGATCTTGGTCTTCCATTTGGCCGGCTGAAGCTGTCACCATAGCAACCGCATCAGTATTTGCTAGAGTTCGCTGATATACTCATAGTAGTGCAGTTTAAGATGCCCACCAGACCAAGGCCATATTCCAATACATTCCAGCTACCCAGCCCCAAGCCCTAAAGACTTAGCATGCCGCCGAGGTTTTGGCAGGGTAGACTCAACAGCGAACGGCTTCCAGGTTTTGTGCTGTGGTTTAGGGGCAAGGTTTTCGAATACAAAGTTTAGAATTAGAGATTGTATGGGGGGCTTATGCTGCCGGGAATTGAAAGTGCATCGAAACACCCATGGTGGGGTTTCCTAGGTTGCCCCATAGTGCCCTTGAGCTTGAACCCCTTTATGCTTTGCGGGTCCCGGACGGAAGAGTTTAACAGCGGGAGAAAGGAGACCTTTGCGTTCAATGGGTTGCTGGGGAACCGTAAATCTAAATGCCCTAAACTTTAAACCCTAAGACCGAAAACCCTAAGTCTTGATCAACGACCAAAAAAGCAAATCAAGACCCCTATCGAACCCTCCCATATCTCTTCGGGACCCCTCGTTAGACACTGGGATCTTGAGTCATGCAGGATGCGAAACTTGAGATTAATGCTGCAGCCTCTGCAGCAGGGGCTGGCAGAGTCACGGATACGCAGAACAAGCGCGATGTTCATGCTTCCTGATAGTATCTATATATGTAAAGCCACAAAGAGAAAGAGAAAGAGAGAGAGGGAGAGAGAGAGAGAGAGAGAAGGCGGGGCAGAGACAGAGAGCAAGACCGAGAGCAATCCCCAGATGATCATGTGACACATAAACCCATTATGACTGTTACGAGGCTCGAGGGCTGTCCAAAACGGCTTTGCTGTTTTAGACCAGTCCTTCCAAGATCATTCGGTCATTGATGATCCTTAATAGGAGCTTTCGATTCAAGACCTTGCTTTCGATACTCCTTCAAATCTCGAAGACTACAGGGGTCGTGCAGTAATCACCAGAAGTATACATACATTATCGCAGGAGCCACCTACCAAAATAAAGACAAAGTAAGTAAATAAAATCAACCCAACTATTACACACTGGGATGTGTATCGTATGCATGCGTGTATATGTATATACACAGGTTGTGTTACATACATACACACATATGTATAGACATTATATATGTATGTATCTATGTATGTATGTATGTATGTATGTATGTATGTATGTATGTATGTATGAACGTATCTAATGTATGTACTGTATGTGATGTATGTAGCTAGACAGATAGATAGATAGATAGATAGATAGACAGATACGTAGATGGATAGATAGGCAGCCAGTTACATAGACAGACAGACAGACAGACAGACAGACAGACAGACAGACAGACAGACAGCCAGACAGACAGACAGACAGACAGACGGACAGACAGGTAGATGGATATATAGATAGCTAGAAAGACAGATCGGTATGCTAGATCATCGATCTTTGGATAGATAGATGCATGCAAGGCCCCTATATATACCGCTGGTTTAAGGTCCAGGCCAAGGAAGACTTGCACCTTCTCGTCGGTACGTTTGTGCCAACGCCTGGCCAACACCGAGAAAAAATGAGGGTAAGCTTCAGGGGTACTACCTAGAGACTCCAAAAAACCCTTCAATTAAGGAATATACCTTAAGCGATCATAGGATCCCTAATATGATTTGAGGTCTATTCCTTAATTAAGGGGTTTTGGAGTCTTTAGGTATAGAGGTCGGAGAGGTTACTATGTAATCGCATCCCTAAATCATAGCTCCCTTCGAAAAATTGTGCTAGAGTATACTAAACCCTAAACCCTAAACCCTAAACCCTAAACCCTAAACCCTATACCCCAAAGCCCGTTGAGGGCCCCGAAAGCCCTGGAGCTTCAGAGCTTTGGGGGGCTTTAGGGTTTAGGGTTTAGGGTTTAGG